TTGATTTTAAAATATATCTGTGGAATCAGACTTTAATAAATACATTTTTATTTGTGGATTTTTTTATTCCTTGCTTTTTTTGTTGTTCCAGCAAGAATATTTTCACAAATATAGAAAATGGGTTTTTTTGGACAACACGGGAATATCGTTTTAAAAACGTTTTACCTTAAGACAATTGGTTAAGCTCTGAGAAAATTAGAGTGAGAACTTTAGATTCTTCAATGAAAAATGAGAACAAATACTCACTCTCCACCTCATCCTTTTTGATTGCACTAGAGATCTTGTCATTACATAGACGATTTATTAATTTCTGAAGTCCAGGTATCATAGAGCACAGTCTGACATCGCACAGTTGCAGAGATGGATAATCAAAGAGTAATCTACTCTGAAATGAATCTGGCCAAAAATTCAAAGAGGAAGCGAAGGAAATCTAAGGACACCAAAAGCTCCATTTCAGAAACCGAACAGGAAATAACCTATGTGGAATTAAACCTTCAAAATGCTGCTCAGGATCTTCCAGGGAATGACAAATATTACCAGTGCAAAGGTAAAGCACTTAACAGCTCCTCAATCCAACCGTTTTAGGATGTGCACTTGGGGTACAGAGGTGGGAGGAAAGTGCAGGACATGCTCACGTAGTTTTATTCAGCAAGAGCTCTAAGTTGAGATATGCTATTTTAATATGAAATATGCAGACAAATTTTACTCACACATTGTTGAAATTTGTTGTCTTTGTCCAACAACTCATGGAGTGCTACGTTTACTGAAAATGGTATGGTATATTATAAGCAAAAGATTACTATGGTAGATGTGGGTTTCAGGTCCAATTTTATCTATGAGTCCCTGTGCATGTGGGGTCTCTTGTATGTAAGTATTCTAACCATCCATCTCTGTCTCTAGTTTCTCAATGTTTCTGTTTATCTCCCTGCAGATTTACTGTTTACTCCAGAGAAGCTCATCGCTGGGATCCTGGGAATTATCTGTCTTGTGGTAACAACAGGTATCATTACCTGTAAGTATGTCTTGGAAGAATAAAAGGGAATTTTTACATTTAATGATTGGAAGCGCCTCTAAACTTTTCATAATATCAGAGAA